GGTCCTATCACCCTGGCTAGATATGAGGAACAGAACAGACACTAAAGAATTAATAGACATAGCCGGGCGTTGGTGGCGCACGCCTTTAATCCCAGCACTCGGGAGGCAGAGGCAGGCGGATCTCTGTGAGTTCGAGGCCAGCCTGGTTTACAGAGCGAGTTCCAGGACAACCTCCAAAGCCACAGAGAAACCCTGTCTCGAAAAACCAAAAAAAAAAAAAAAAAAAGAATTAATAGACACACAGGTATGAATGCAGAAAAGCAGAATCAGGTGGGCCGCATGCTTTGAAGGAGCCATGCTTACTATCTGTGCAACCCAGAAGCTCAGCATGGTGACTCTGCATAGCAGGGGGTGGGGGTGGGGGGAGGGTGGTTGGGGGTGGGGTAGGGGTGGGGGATGTTTTGCTGGTATTGGTAGGCGGTTTCTGTAGGACAGTGGTCTCAGGCTGTGAACTTCCCAGGGAAGGAAGCCATAGCTGCAGGGTTTTGTACACACCCATCAATTGTCCCAAAATACTCATGCTTGGCCCAGAGGAAGAAGGAAAGATCATTGTTTTTTGGTGGTGGCTGGGGGAAGAGAGGCTAATGAGGCATTGAAGGCTAGCAAAGTCCGTAGGATACAGGCATGAAAATGCATAGCATGACCCCATCCTTCTGTAAAATGAACGCAAATTAAACATGTAGAAAACACTTGGAAGGCAGAGGCAGGCAGATCTTCGTGAGTTTGAGGCCAGCCTGTTCTATACAGTGAGTTACAGGCCTGCCAGATCTAAAGAGTGAACACTTTCTCAAAACAAAAATGTAGAAAAAAAAACCCAAATAAATAAAACCTTCCAGGCTGTGGGTACAGCTGAGCAGTAAATGCTCACTTTGCATAGTGAGAGGTGAAGTTTCCAGCGCTGATAAATAAACAAAACCCCTCCATCCTTTCAGCATTCTATCTAGAAATCTCCACAGCCAGATCCACACGTACTTTGGGTACTGTTTCTCTTGCCCGTGACTGCAAGCTAATTTAACTAATTGTTTTTCCAGTGTCTGAATCACATGCAGCCTGCAGAGCCATAATCTGCCCTTGAGTAGTGTTTTTTGCTAACAACTCCTCAAGATGGAAACTTCTTCTAATTGCCACCCCGAATGCCAGCCCAAAGCCTTAAATTGCCTTGGTTTTGTTTTCTAGCAAGACCCCCATTTGTGGATAGGCAATTATATTCCTTTGTTTAATGCTGTTTAAAAGCCATCGAAATCTTAGTGATATAATACACCAGCATTGACTTAAAGATATATAATTACTCACAATTTTGTAATATGGACAGCATTTGCTGGAGACACCTCTTTTTCTGTGTGGCATCAATTGGGCCAGCTCACCTGAGGATTCCCTTCTAAGACCCGGTGTTCAGCAAGGTTGGCCAACTGCTACCGACCCTCTCTGCTGAGAAACTGGCTGGAGCTGCAAGCTGGGAACCTGTATATTTCTTCCTTGCCTGGTCCAGCTTGTAGCTGTTTGTATTTCTTGAAAATAGTGGGAGAATTTTAGAACTATGGAAGTGGTAAAAAAAAAAGGGGGGGGTGCCGTAAAAGTGTGAGTATATCTAACACTGCCGAACTGTGCATTTAGATGGTTAAGATGTTAACTTTACGTCTTTTACCACTATCAAAGAAAAAAAAAAAAGCCAGCCAGGGTGGGAGTGGTGCTGGCTTCGGCAGAGGTAGGCAGGATCTCAGAGTTTGAGGCCAGCCAGCCTGGTCTAACAGAGTGAGTTCCAGGATGTCCAGGGCTACAAAGAGAAACCCTGTCTCCAAAAACAAAACAATAAAAAACACCCAAGAAGCAGGATGGCGGTGAAGTGAGAAAGAGCAAGTTGTCAAGGAGGAACAAAGCCAACCAAAGGTGGGATCAACAAAGCTAACAGTCACAACACTCGGGGTAGATTCTGCGGCAAGGTTAGGGCAGATACATAACTCTGTGCTGGGCCAATAGCTCCCAAATAGACCTTTAATGCCTGCAATCCCCAGAGACAAACGTTTAAAACGTAATTATGGGTTTGGATTTCTTAAAGCGAGCCTCAAAAGGAACCCTGCCAGCCTAATAGTGATGAGTAATGAAAACTACAGGTGTCCACATTATTTCCCTTTCAACCTGGTATGCAACCTTGCAGGCCAGGCAGAAATACGGTCGGGCAGGGGCAGGTGAGAGGGCAAATGTCTTCAGGTCAATAGCCCAATTTTTCTGGGATAGAAACTCCCTTTGTTGTCTTATAATTCTTAGCATGCCTGGCAACCATCGGCTACCAAGGAGCGTTCTTAAAACTTCATATTTGAAACAGTAAGTAAGTCATAGAGACCACTTAAACCCTGGCTGAATATATAACTCCCCCCCACCCCCACACTTCTCTTTCCCTATGGCCATGACGTTTATAAATAGTGGATGTCTGTTTATAGATTTTCCTTGGGTTTTGTTGTTAATATGCTACTTGATTTTTCTTCCAAATAAGTACATACCATTCCTTGCCGAAAGGATAGAAAATGAAATCCCTTCCTTCCAGGCGTATTATCTCATCCTCATACCTTATGCTGGGCGCTCTCTCTCTCTCTCTCTCTCTCTCTGACAGCTTTATTGCCTGCTGTGTCAATACATTGGTGTGATTTTTACCTTTCATTTCTTTAAATCTCTCTCTTCAGTCCTCTTGTGGCCCATGTCTCCAAAAATAAAAAATTAATGACTCTGTCTGGTGACCATAGTGACCATGCTTACACACCTTCAGGACGTACTCTGTAGACCAGCAGGCTGGCCTCAGCTGAGATTAGAGGCAATCGCCACCACCACTGTCCTGTCTGTTTATTCAACTGGGGTGTATTACGTGTTAGGCACTGTCTAAATGCTGGGAACAAACAAAGATGATGCCAGACACGGTTCCTCTCACAGGACTAATTTTTCTTTCTTATACCAGAGGTTGCTAACTTTTTAACAAAAGATTCAGTTCTGGCTTGGTTTCAAGACAAAAAAAAAAAAAAAAAAGCAGGTTCTAAGTCTGAAATTAACCCCTCTTTTTTTTTTTCTTGCCTGGAGATGGATGGGAGATCTCCCCCCATACTGCAATCAGACAACCTAACCTACCTTCCCCACTGGAACCACTAAGGGCCAGCTTATCATTTTTTCTTGGGTCCTTGCCAGGCTCCTGCAACAGGCCAAGAATAGCCAAGGAGGGCAAAGGGCTTCTACTGGCCGGTCCAGCCCCCGAAGCCCACTCGGCCATTGCTCAGGAAGACATTGCCCCCTCGTGGTTCCTCTTATAACTCAGTGAAAAGCAGGTCGTGCAAACAGCTGTCAATCAACACAATAAATCAAAACACGAAGTTTCCGACTAACTGTAGCTCTTCTCCTGAACCTTTTCTCCCGCTGTCCCAAGGACTCTTGGTTCATTTCCTCCCAGGAGGAACTATAGAGAGCAGTGGCATTATGACAGCAAATTAAAGTTTTCTCCTAGAAACTTTCCCACATCTCCAGATCCCTTAAAAAAACAACCCCGAATTAAAAGTTAAGTATCACTATGGATTTTCACGTCACAACGCCTTTAGAAACAAAAGAAAAATGTTGCGTGCAGCTTGCTTTTTTTATAATTTGAACCAGGATTCAGCGGTTATGTTGCCTTGGAGTTGTTTGGGGTATCTTGTCTCCACAACACTACTTTCAACTGCCTGAAGGCAGGGCCCTTATCTTCAGCTCCCACCCCACCCCCACCCCGCCTCTACCCCACCCCCAACAGCACTCAAAGCAGAAAGGGTGAAGAATGTCGAGCGGTGAGAAAGAGATAAACAGTTAAACCAAGACATAAATGAGAAACCGTGATTGGTGCGGCATGCCAGACAAAGTTCCTCGGAGAGACAGGCACAACCCTTTGATAGTGGGGGTCTTAAATATCTGCCCATACTAGTCAAAGAAGTTTACGGGATCTATTGTTGGAAAAGTCCTGTAGGACCAGGAAAATGGAAACTTCCTTAATAATAATGCTAGCTTCCGCCTATTGTAAACCGTAGTTGTGCAAGAATGAGTGCTGGGAGAGGAGGGTTGTTGCGCTTGCCCCATCTATAATCTCTGAAACCCTGAGATATATGTACATAAATTTTCTCCCGTTTCTCCGATGAGGAAACGGAAGCTATGCGGTCATTCCGGGGTTGGGCAATTACTTTGATTCTCCAGAGATAAATGTCCTGACCTTTGAGGGGCAGTGAGGGACACTCAGCCAACAAGAAAGACACCGACTGCCTGCCTGCTATGCTCCAGGTAGCCTACTTAACTAGTGGCGAGGTGACAAAGATAAACGGGGCACGGTCTTGTATTCCAGGAAGGGGCTCTCCAAAGAGTGAAGTAAACAAAACGATTCCAGAACAGTCTGGTGCCGGCTGTGCGAGTCTGAACAGGGGCGGCCGGAAGCCTTGGAGAGCGATAACGGGCGAGCGGGAAGGCTAGGGAGGGTTCGTCGGACTCCGGCGCTGGCGATGGGGTTGCAAGCCGTGCCCTGCAAAAGCGGGGTTCGGTGGTAGGCTGTCCCTCGTGCCTGTCACCTTTCAGCTCGGGAAGCACCGAGTCTCAGCGGGTGCTGCCAAGGAGGAGGGAGGTTCACATCCGTCGTGAAAAGCAAGCAAAAAGTAGCACGCCCCAGTACCCCCTCTGTGCACCCCCCACAAGCAGTCTTGGTCCCCGGCCCGCGACCCCTGTCTAAGCCCACGCACACCGGCCAGCAGGGACGCGGGGTCTGGAGAGAGACAGGGTGGACCCGATCTTCCTCCCGCCGTCCCCTCGGCCTCGTGACCCCGATGACCCCCCCCAGTCCAGCCGGCCCCTGGGGTCGACCGCTCCGCCCAGTGCCCCTCCTCCCGCGGGGGGCTTCGCGGTCCCGAGCAGCGTCCCTCAGGGCTGCGGCCGGCCGCGCACGTCCAGGGAGGGCGGAGGGAGGAGGGGAGGGAAGGGAGGGGAGGGGAGGAGGGTGGAAGGCGAGAGAAAGCGCGCTGCGTGCGGCCCCGCTGCCCAGAGCCTGCCAGCAGCGCGCCCTCGGCGGCTCCGGTCCCAACTGCGCCCGCCGCCTCGCCTCCTCCGCCTCGGCCGCGTCCGGACTCCGGGGCTCGCCCGGCCTCTCGGAGGTCCCCGCCCGCCCCGGCTCCTCGCTGCACCGCCCGGCTCCAGCCCCGCAGCTCGCCTGCCCGCCCGTCCGCCCGGGGGAAGGTAGCAAGCGGGCGAGCGCGCCCTCGCCTGAGCCCCGCGCCCCAGCCCCGCGCGGCGACGAAGGACCGGGAAGATGAACGGCGGAGGCAAAGCCGAGAAGGAGAACACCCCGAGCGAGGCCAACCTTCAGGAGGAGGAGGTACCGAGGGGGGTCTGTTGGGGGGCTCGGGGCGCATGGGGTGCGCGCGGAAGGGGGGCTGTGCGCCACGGGACTCGGCGTCCCGAGGGCGCGGGGCTGTGTCCACGCGCGTCCGCGTGCCTCCCATTGCATAACTTTGTAGGACTTTCCCGAGACTTTTTAAAGTAGAATGCTCAGCTTTGTCTACCCGGGATGTTAAAAGCGGAATTGAGAGCTGACTCCCGGGTGACCTCAGATGATTGGGATCGGGGGAGGGTCAAGATTTGGGTTCTGCGGCTGTTGCTGGAAGTCGGAGGGAGGCATGGTTGAAGGAAGAAACTCTGGGAAAGTTCTGGTTAAAAGATACTTCCGACCCCAGCTCCTCTCCCTCCCTTTCGCTGTTAAAAGTGCTGGGTGAAATATCTTCCTAGCTGAGACATTTTGGATTAATAGATAACTCTGCAGCCGCATTCTTCTCCGATGAGTCGAAGACCCCTGCCGAACCTGGGCGATGTGGAATGGGGTCGGGGGCTGGCGGGGGGCGGTTAAAATAACTAGGGCTAAAAGCTTTGGGTTCCCCAAAGCAAAGGCGCATGGAGCGAGTTTTCATAGGAAAATCACAACTTTATGTGGCACACTTGGAATGATGATTAAAAACGAGTTGCGGCTGTGGTGCGTTTCTTACTGAAAACACTTGTACTATGTGTGGATGGAGCGTGCGTGGGACTCATGAGTTTTGTCGGTTTTGTGGTGTCGGGCCCGGACCTTCACTCCTGCAGGTGGCTTATCTGGAGGTCCAAGAAGTTGTATTTATCTTTTTAAGGTCTCCCAGAATTGAGTGTGTAGAAGTAGACACGGCCCAACCCACTGTTTCATAAAAAGTGTTCTTGCAGGTAAATTATATCCTAATGAGGAGGATGAATACAACATAAACTCACTCTGAAGCGCTTAGGATTGTGAGAATGTTGAGACATTCTCACCGTGTGCAAGCTAAGATACCGAGACTGAAACCAAACATTAAGAAAGAGTTCATACATCCACCCATCTCTCTGACCTATGTAAACTCTCCACTGGTAAAATGGGAACTGTTTAAATGGGGAAGACAGAAGATACCCAAACTTATGCAAAACAACGCAGAGTAAGATTTTACTCACCACAGTTGTAGGGTGGTGCACTTTAGGATTGAGGGAATTGAAGAAACCTGACAACCACCTCCCCACCTGAAGAAATTACCCATTTTATCAGCAAGTATTACTTTGGGAAGTTTTGTTTGTACCGTTTTATAACAGCAGAGCCGGGAAGCCAGCTGCAAGTTCCGGCTGCTTCTCAGTTTATTTCCTGACAAGTTAAACATAAAAAAAAAATGCCCGTTTGCTTTTTAAGAAATTGCTGGGAATTTGGCCTGCTTTAATGAACACAACGAGGTAATAACTCATTTCAGATCCGCAGTACCCTTATCCCTGCTAAAGGATGGATCCTATAAAACCATATTTTCTTCCTTCATCCGGTTCAGAAAAGTTGCAGCTGGGAAAAAGCTCGTAGCAGCAACAAAAACACCAAAGTTTGGTCCTTTTAAAATGATTTTTGGAGGCAACACACCCCCAAAGTTTTATTTTTTTAAGGTTTTGGTAGATAACGAATAGGTTTATCTCCAAATCCCATGTCCACTTGGCCTAAATATCATGGCAAGTCAGAGTTGTCTAGATCATCTTAGCTGCTGATGTTTCCAGTGTTAAGGCCCCTCAGGGTGATCCCATCTAGTAATGGACCACATTGGTGCAGTCATCTGCCTGATTTTGCTGTGTTGCACTGAGTGTTCTTTGTCAGGTAGGAATGGCATGCTATTCCAGAAGTTGTGCTTATCTTTTTTAGCAAAGCAGTTGTTATTTAAGCAGTAAGAGGAGTAGGAAGTTTGTAGATTTGGAGTGTATAATACATGCTCCATGAGAAATGAGCTTTAGTTATTTGTGGTGTCTTGCCCCCCCCCAAGAAATGAACCCAGGACCAAGTCGTGCCAGGCAGACACTCTCACTAGATACTCTGTCAGGGTTTCCCAAGTCACATAGTCAGGCTTTGAACCCCTGGGATTGAGGCATTTACTGTCACACCGGGCTAGTACAATAGAAATGCAGGGAGAGAAAATTGTGAGTGACCCAGGTAATTAATTTTATTATAATTCTCTGATCTTCGTGTCTGCTTGGTGTTTGAAAAACTCCTAGGCTTTTTTCCCCCCATAGCCCTGAAAGCCACAAGTAAAATACAGTATTTGGTGAGTCCTATTAATATGCTTGTCATTATACAAAACCACAACAGTAGACCCATTCTCTGCCCACCCAGTGGATCAGAAGTTGTGCAGATGCATTGAAAAGCCTCAGAGTAAACAGCACACAGGCACACACACACACACACACACACACACACACACACACACACACACACACACACCATGTATACATACATGAAGACAAGAGAAGAAGAATGTGCCTGTTGTAATTTCCGGTGACTATTGGACTGAATTGTTAAAGTGAGTCCACCAATTACTAGTAGAAAACACTATCTCATAGATCACCATGGGTGTAGACTTTTTCCTACACTGGAGAGTTAATTCAAGGCTTTTGTTTTCCTTTCTATGTTTGAAACCAGGTCCTCCTATCTATCATTCAGTGTGTTTAATCTCTTAATGTCTTATTCTACAATCATGACACTGCTCATATGTTCACGTGGATACAGTTGTGTAGGATGGAAAGTTCAGGATTTAGGAAAAATATTTACATCTTTTCTGTGGTTGAAAAGTTTTTGAGAATCTGTGCAGCTTTGCATAGAACATAAAACGGAGGCTGATGTTCAGACTTGGCAGCTGTGTAAGAGACAATACATCTGGCTTTCAGTGTGTTGTGTATGCTTTTTGCAAGTTTTTCTGCAAGAACAACCAGTTGTCAATCTTACTGGGACCTGAGAGTTGCAAGGATTTGGTGTATGTGCATTGTGTTGGATTATTTCTTTCATCACTTTACAATTCAGAAGTCAACCTTATACAAAGCTACATAGCAAGGCTTCACTTTGAAACAAAAGTTCTTAGCTGGTGATGATTTCCTTCATTTTGTAAGTCAGAAGCAGGCGGATCTCTCTGAGTCTGAGTCCAGCCTAGTCTACATAGCAAGACCAGTCAGGGCTGCATAGTGTAAGAAATGAGATAAACGTGTCCTTTTGTTGTATTTTTAGTTTCATTCATGTCTTTGGGTACTCCTTAGGTGGATGACCTTATGTTGAAGCAGTTTAAAATACATCTCAGTTCTGGGAAAGCAGTGTAAGGGGTAGTAATTAAATCAGAGAGAGGCAAGAGTTGGCCGAGTTGCAGCATTGATTGAGATGTTTGGCAGAAATCGCATCAAGTCAGATCTTGAGAGGGTCATGCAATTTTTACTTCAGAACTTTTAGAGTGCTTAATATTGTGCCAAAGCATTGGGGTCATAAGTTGTTGGTTTTTTTTTTTTTAAACAGTTGGCATAGTGGAAAGGGAATGTCAGTGGTGTAGAAACCCACTGGTTCTCATTGCACATTGAGATTACTGGACACGGCTTCTGGAAGGACCGGGCACAGTTTTGTACAATCTAACCTATTGTTGCAAACCAAATCTAACGTAGTAAACTCATTTCGGTCATGGAGCAGGAGTTGGTGACGGTGATTTGGGTGGAAATGTGACCTCATGGTGGAATGATATCTGAAGAGCACTGCCAGTGTAGCCTTCATTTTAGGTTACTTTGCCAAAAGTGGTTTCTCTGGTAAGCTGGTGGTGCCTAGAAGTGCTTTCTGCTCGAAGTGCTCTGGCTTGATCCTTTGGTAGAGGTGGAGGCTTTTCTGGAGGTGACTTCTCAGACTGTTTTCTGCCTGATTTAGTGTTCGAGCTGGGACAATAAACTGGGAACATGACAATAATGAAATCAGGGCTGTGGTTCTGAGTTTTGGCAGGGGCCATCAAAACATGCTCTGGCCCTTTGATTTAGTACCCGCATTGTTAAGAGCTCACTCTAAGGAAATGGGTGGTAGTACAATGTCTTTCTAGGAGTGATTATGGCAGTTATGATGTCAAAAATTCTCAGGAACTTCAACAAACGGGAATTTGCTAAGCAAATCATTATAATTCCTTAGGAATGTTATACAGCCTTTAAAGGATATGTTCTTTGAAACGTACATTTATAAGAATTGTTTTTGTGTATGTAATATATATAATAACAATAGAGGGGTCTGGAAACTAAAAATCTGAAGGCAGGGTCCCTCCAGGCCACTGTTTCCTGGAAAATTTTAGGCAAGAGCCATGCTCCAGACATCCTGAGGACTGTGTTTTTGTTGAGCAAACAGGAGTTTTCAAGCTTTAATAATTTTTAAACATTTTTAAAGATTATAATATGATTACCTCATTCCCCTTTTTCCTTTCCTCCCCCCAAACCCTCCCATGTAACCCTCCCACCATGCTTTTCAAATTCTTTAATGGTAGCTGTGTATGTAAAACCAAATATAGATGAGATGGATGTAATCGATGGATTACATTCATATCTTTGTGAATTGCTTTCTTCTGCGTTTCCAAAGAGACTATGTGAGCAAGTGACGCGAAGCCTTGTGGCTTTGAAGATGTTGTTAAATTCTTTCGTGATCCACACAGGTGTAACAGACCATCAGGTTGGTGGAGTTCAGTTTGGCTTAGGAGCCTGACTTGGGCGGGGCTCAGGCCTGTCCTGCTCCTCAGGCCTTTCATCATGAGCTTCATCTCCTCCTTCCATGCCGGGCCATGTGGACCATGTTAGCGAGCCTCAGCCGCCCTCCCACGTTCTGATGCCCTTTCTCAGTCCAGCATGACGCCGTGCCACTGGGTCCCATGATATCCCAAATCTTTGCGCTCTGATCTCCACAGAACAAAAGTTCACACTTGACACTCGGGATTGTTCTAATATGGCTCTGAGAACCCTTCTACCAATCTCTTCCTCTGTTCTGGCCCGAGCTGAGCAGGCTTCAAGCTGTAACCC